TATCCTTCCCCAAACCCATAACTTCAATCTAATCAAAGAAAACATCAGACAAGACAAAATCAAGAGACATTCTACAAAATACCTGACCAACACTCCTGCAAAGCATTGAGGTCATGAAAAACGAGGAAGTGTGAGGAAGGGTCACAAAGCGCACTAAGGAGACACGACAAGTGAACGTAATGTGATATCTTGGATTGGATCCTGGAGCATCGAGAGCACATGAGTAGGAAATGGACAAACTCTGAATTAGTCAACAGTATAGTACTAACGTTTTCTACTTAGTGTTAATAAAGGTGCCATGGGTACGTAAGATGTCAACATCAGAGAAAGCTAGGTAAAGAGTCTCTCTGTATAGTATATATACTCTGTGTAGTATCTTTGCAACTCTACTGTAAATCTAAAGTAATTTCAAAATCATAAGTTAAAAACAGTACAAAGGGCACCTGCGTGGCTCAGTCGGTTAAGTGTCTGACTTCAGCTCAGGTCATGATCTTGAGGTGAGTTTAAGCGCCGTATCTGCTGTCAGCACAGAGCCCACTTCAGATCCTCTGTGCTCCTCTGTCTCTCTCTGCCCCTCCTTCACTCATGCTTTTTCAAAAATAAACAATAGAAATTTGTTAAATAATAAAAACAATACAAAAAACAATAAAAAATGTCTGGCCCTCATTCAAACCAATTCAATCAGAATCTTGGGCATTCAAAGCTCTCCTGGTGATCCCAATATGCAGGTAGGGTTGAGAACTATACACCTGAGATTTCAACCATGAGCAGGTGCCTCAGTATTCTCTGGAGGGCTTATTAAAACAGACTGCTGGGCCCCACCCTGGAGTTTCTGATTCAGCAGATCTGGGGTAGCATCTGAGAATTTAAGCTTCCAACAAGCTCCCGGGTTATGCTGAGGAGAACCACGTGGGGCAGAACCGCACCTTCAGAACCATCTAGGTTCTTGCAGCTCCAAGTGAGCACTTTGGACCAGTAGCCCCTGGGAGCTTGATAGGAATGCAGACCCTCAGGTCTCACTCAAACCCACTGAGTCAGAGTCTTATGTTCCAACAAGAACCCGGGCTAGCGGTTCTTACACACAATTTTGAGACTCGCTGCTCTAGCATGAAAGTGCAGGGAGAGGAGATGAAGCCATGGGAGCTGAAATGGCAGAGGTCAAGGGCTTCCTACCCAGCACTTCACTAGTCTTAATAGCCTTGCCTTGCCTCTCACACATGGGAAAAAGAAAAACAGGAAGAAACATCAGCAGAACTCTGCAACTATTAAGCTGAAGACAGAACTGAGCTGAGGGTTTTCTGCTCCCAGCAGTGCCCGCCAGGGGCACGGTGACCTGGCTGATGGCAGGGCTGAGGCAGCCTCCAGAGAAAGCAGGCCAGGAGGCACTCACCGCAGGAAAATGGACATCACGCTAACCCAAGGTTTAATATTTACTCTGCTGAGGACTGACCTCATCTTTCCTCTAAAACAGGAGAGAGCGCTGAGCCAGTCTGTGCAGCTTCATAAGAGGCTTTACTTTACAGGAAGGAAGGAGGGAAGAGACGAGGTGAGAACAGCCTTTTTGAACAAATGAGCTTTTACCAAAATGTTTATAGATTTAAGGCTGGGGAGACTGGGCCCCCTGCAGTTTCCCTTCAGCCTGTTACCTGTAAGCGGTGGGTACCAGGGTGCCTGGCATTCAAGGCCTCTTGCTGAATACAGGGCCTCCTGATCCAGCCCAACCACCACCACCATTGCAAAAGGAATGCAAAGAACTGCAAAGAACTGGCTGCAAAGAACACACCACTCCCTGTGGCCTTGTTTGTCTTGCCTATTAAGATCTTGACCCCTTACCAGGTCCCAACTTTTAGACCCCAGCCCCTCACATCTATACCTGAAAACTACATAAGCCCCGAGTGTTACCTGCATGGCTCCATTTACCTCTTCTCTCAGTTGCTTACACTGAGGGTAAGTCTCAGCCTCCCAATGAGTCCTGCCCCTAGGACTTTCCCAGGTGCCTCTAGGAGCCATTCTGGCTTTCTGAGAGGTCACTCATTGACTATTCACATTCTTGGAGGCCTGGGACCAGGCTCGGAGCTCTGTGGAAATTAACCTGGCCATCGAACAAGGCAACATTCCTTGGGGGGGGTGGGGAGGGGGGGAATGAACAGCACTTGTAGTTTATTTTTAATATACATATTTCAGGAGCTCTGAAGATAAAGCATTCTGAGATTCTAAATACTTGCATGCTGGGCGCCTGGATGGCTCAGTCGATCAAGCGTCCAACTTTGGCTCAGGTCATAATCTAATGGTTCATGAGTTCGAGCCCCATGTCAGGCTCTGTGCTGACAGCTCAGATCCTGGAGCCTGTTTCAGATTCTGTCTCTGTCTCTCTCCCTCTTTCAAAAATTAAAAAAAAAAAATAACTTTCATGTTTATTTAGCACTGACTACAAGCCAGGATTCTAAGCCTGCTATGAACTGAGCACATACTTGAGAGGCTGTATACCACACGGCCATAGAGTTGGAATTTCTGTCTACTCCACCTGAAAAGAGGAAGGAGAAGGAAAGATCCATGTTGCCCAAATCAAGGAATCCAACACCTAAACCGAATAATTTCAGTGTTAAAAGGTAAAACACTCTTCAGAGTAAGCTGGTGATTTCCTGAAATATTGTCACTGCTGGGAGAAAAACGTCACAGGATCTTACTGGGAAGCATCAAACCCAAATCAATTCACAGCAAGTTCCACAGGCCAGAGAAGGGATCAGAGCAAGGTCCCACATAGCAGCTCAGCCACGCTATCTCTGAACTACAGAATAGAGATAGAGAGAACCATCTCCGACAGTTCTGGTCTCCAGATATGGCCCTACCCAGGCCAAGCAGGAACACAGGCCAGTGGTCAGTCGACAAAGACATACCTTGGGCCAAGGGCATAGGACAAGACACCAGAGTAGTTATTATATAATAAAGAATCTGTCTGGTCTTTGTCCCTGGCTTCTGGGAGATAACTGTAACTCCTTGGAATTTCTCAGTGATGGGAGCATCCTTGTTTTTCAGAGTGTACCTCTGGGTTTCTACTAGATGGCCCAGGATGGTGGTGAGATCAGCCCATCTTCTCCGGGGGTGGTAGGGAGAAGCGAGGGCTGGAGACTGAGTTCAATCATGTGATCAATGATTCAATTGTGTCTATGAAAGGAAACCCTGATAAAAACTCTGCACACTGAAGCTCAGTGAACACACGGATATGCTGAGAGGGTGATGTGCCTGACCCCACGGGAGAGGACGCAGCAGTTCCGCATTCAGGATCCTTCTAGCCCTTGTCTTACATGTCACTTCATTTGGCTGCTCCTGATTTGTATCCTTTATAATAAAACTGTAATCACAAGTAGATTGCTTTCCTGAGTTCTGTGAGTCATTCTAGTAAATTACAGAATTTGGGGGGGTGGGGAGTGGGTATGGGGTCGCCCAAATTTGTAGTCAGCCGGTCAGAAGTGCATGTGGCTGGCGGAGCCCCAAACCTGCAGCTTGAGTCTGACATGAGTCTTATGGGCTCTAGGCCTTAAGCCTTTGGCCTCTGCACTAGCTCTGGGTGGTCAGTGTCAGAACTGCAGGCAGGCTACAGCGGTCCAGGTCCACCCTGCCTTAGGCCTGAGGGAACATGCTGGACTCTTCTACCTCAACTGAACATCCAATTCCCTCTGAGATCAAAGTTTTTGAGACTCAATTCAGGCACGTATGACAGGCCAAAGGTGAGTGTGATTAGAGCTACAGCACTGTGGACCACCATTTAGCAGCTATGTGACTTTAGGGAAGTCAGTAAACCTCTCTGAGTCTTGGCCCCCATCTCTGTAAGATAAGACTAATGGCGTCTCCCTCTCATAGAGCTGATGGGACTATTTAATGATGTAATTTATTTACAAAGAGCCTAGCATGGTCTCTCCCCCTGGAAGGTACTCAATCATCATCAGCCAACTTTCCTCCTACTTTCAAACTTCCTTATACCCCAAACTCTCCCAGATTCTCTACTCTCCCTGGGTGATTGTTCGGGGTCCTGGGCCCACTGGCAACATGCTCATGTTTTAGATACCAGGGCAGCAGGGAGCCAACCATTAAACTAAAAGTGAGAAGCAAGTAACCATTACCTTGAACAAAAGGACATTTATATTTACTTCAGTGGCTATAAAAGACACCATAAAATATAATATGCAGCATGCATCCTCATGATTAATAACAGATCTTGCAAATTATTCTCTCAGGTCCCTGGGTGCATCCAACTGGTCACTAAGAACAATTAATTCTTTCAGGAAATAAAGGGATTGCAAATCATCTCTGGTCAGTGGAAAACCTGCTTGTTGTATTATGAATAAAGAGAAGACGAGGCTTGAATTCAGGGGTTTTCTGCCCCTGTGAATGGGGCGAAGTAAGATCAGAGACACTCAAACACAATTACTGTCAGTGAGCACAGGTGCTCACAGGTAAAAGTAAGACCTGCCGAATGTGGGGTCTCTCAGGGACCTGGAGTTAGACAGGACTTTGGGGACGACCCAGAAACAGGAGCAGATGACTGAGGGGCGGGGCAGCCCTAGCTGTGGGCAACAGCTGGAAGCATGCAGTCCAGACAGGAGACAAGGAGGGTGGACCTCTAGCCACACTGACTGAGGCTTACACTACAGTCTTCAGGACGGAGGGCATCAAATGATGAGCCAAAGGGCTAAGTGAGGATGTAATTAGTAGAACAAAGCAGGTGGAGAAGCCAGAGAAACCAAAGGCAGAAGTTTCAGCTGAGCCTCTGAGTTCCTGGCCTTGGGGCTTCTTAACTCCTCTGAACAAAACCTCAGAGTCTTAGAAGGTAAGAAAAGCCTAGATGGGGCAGGAAGTGGCCACACAGGGAAAGGCTGGAAGGGTGACAGAGGCAATATGCCAAGCAGAACACGGTGGCACACGGCGCCCAGGTCCAGTCTTACCTAACGGCCAGTGTGGATTCACCCCCAACCTGGAATAAAAATCCCACCAACGAAGCCCTTCCCTGCAACCCTGAAGGGGTTTTTATTGAACCACAGTACATAAAACAGCAAAGGGGTCACCGCGACAGCAGTGAACTCATGCCCCGGACGCCGAGCCACCTTGCTCAGGTAAAACACCTCTGGGGAGTGACAGGACACGGAGAGGGAATCTGTTCCCAGCAAGATCAGAAACTGTGCTCTCTTCCAGCAAAATCAAAGTGCCCACAAGTTAAATGTAGGAGTTCATGTAGGAAGTCCGTGGGATTCATAGTCCATCCTGACAACAGGAGTCGTTACTGGAAGTAAGGTGACATCCAGCCCCACGGCACCCACCTAGAGTGGGAAACACTGTTGTGGCTTCTCCCTGGACAAGGGGAGAAGCCTACTGCATGGGACAACTTGTGGGCCCAGAGACAAGGGCTCCGGCACAGGAGAGGGATTCCAGAGGTGTGTAGTGCCAGTGACAATGACCATGGGGCCCCAGGCCACCATGTGACAGAAACAGGGCACCTGCGTGGAGACAGGACAGAGGAGTGAGGGGTGAGAAGTCCACTTGCCCAGCACAGAGTCACACTGGAAAGGGAAAGGGGACAGCAAGTGCACTCAGTGTGGAGTGGGCAACAGCCAGCAAAGCAAGGCCAAGACCCAGCTGGCCAGCTTCCAGCCCTTCACATGCAGAACCAGTTCATGAAGGCTGATCTGCCATAAGCCAAAGGCCTCGCTGAAATAGATCCGGGCCCTTCTGAAGGATGAACACGGATTCTTCTTCTTGTGCCTGTGGGACAGACAAGGAGGGAGGAGAGAACAAGAGGTAAAGAGGCAAGAACTCAGTATCACTTAGAACAACAAAAGATCGTGGCTTAGCCAACTGACCAGGCCCCCGCCCTGGTAGATAACTCCAGGCTGTGTGATCATAGCCCTGTCCCCCAGCGACCAGAGGGACTCAACTACTCCAAAGGAGCTTTCCAGATAAGTGGGGTAAACAAAAGCACTGAATTACCTGGAAACTAGGTCAGGTGGCCCTGAGAGGCTGAGGCCAGTATGGATTCAGCCCAGCTCAATCCCTTCTGCACTAACAGAAGGACATGACAAAAACTGGTGTCATGATAATGACCCCTCCAAGACTTGGTTCCCAGAACCGTCAAAGGAAGAATAAATCATGCTCAGCCCTTTCTGTGTGCAGTCTATTGCTATAATCTAATTCAATATCTGATCGTGGGTGCATGATGTATGTGGCCAACACTCCCTTTGTCGGTGTGCAAAATGACCCATTCCCTACACTGGCTGGATGGGAGTTGTCACCAGTCTAGGCCTCCTCTCTCAGAAGAGAAGATTCAGCCAGAGCATGGCCCTTCCCATGTATGTGCACATGCAGGGAGAAGGGCCTAGAACCCTCACTTTTCTAGCAATACCTCCCCGAGGAAGCACCTTCCCTCCCTCACCAACACTCCAAGGGCACTGAGGCATCTAAAAAGACCTGATATCCCAAGTGAGCCTGCTGGCAACACTTTCCTGAGTCAGGGCCACATGTGCAGGGAAAGAACACTGGCCTTGCTTCCTAGCCAATCCTGCGGGGACAGGTCCCAGGACCAGTTAGAGATGGGATACATGCATCAGGGTGTCCTGATTCCAAGCCCAGGGGACATTTGGATGGGACTGAGACTCTCAGAAAACATCTCAAACTTTATGGAAGGTAAGAGTTGCCTGGAAAGGCTGACTAGGAAGGTGAGGTCCTAGAATTCACGTATTTTACAAGTACAGATGACCCTCTGGACCACCCCAAAACACAGCCCGGAATCAATGAATTCACTGGAGCAGTCTCCTGCCCCTAACTTTTCAAGGACAGGTGCAGACTAGGGAGCTCAGGTAAGGCCCTGGGCACTGGTGGGAGAAAGCGGAGGCGAAGGAGACGGCCGGGGCAGGCCAGGGAGCTGGGATGGAAGGAGAGGCCAGAGCCCACACTCACGCAGCCAGCGCTCTGATGCAGCACCGTGACATGTTGAGGAAGGAGCTGGCACTGGCCCGGGTGCCCAGGGCGGCCTCAATCCCACGGAGCAAGTCATTGGTCTTGAAGATGAGCAGCATCTGGTGAGGCACGTGGTTGAGGAGCTGGCTAATCTGGGGGAGGTAGTTGGCCGCGTTGTTGCGGATCTCTGAGTCCTGAAGCAGTGACAGGCAGACAGACATGGAGAGTTGGTATGGGAAGTAGGGCCCAGGGTGGTAGGTGCCTATGGCTGAGGGGCTTCAAGGAGGCTCTAGAAGGGAGCTTCCAGCATGTAGCTGGCTGCCTTGATGCCACCAGGACCTCCCCAGAGGGAAGCTTAACACAAGGGGCTTTGTAGTCTGACAAACCTGGAAGCGATGTCTCACCCCAACTTCTGGCCAAGCACCGGACGCAGTACAGGAGCACAACAACAGGACCTCTGCCATCTTGGCTCCCCAAGGTCACCAACACCCCTCCTCCAAGCTCATGAACCAGTACTGACTGGGGCAGGAAGTCAACTTCATCATCAACCATTTGATGAGACTGGAGTTAGCTAGCCTCTTGGCCCAGGGGTTCGCCCGTGTGAGGTGAACCAAGGCTTTTCTCCCTGGCCACCAATTTGATGACAGGCCTGGAAGTAGCCTGGAAGCTGGTGCCAGCTGAGTCATGTCCCCCATCCCTTCCACCAAGCCCAGGCTGCTGCAGTTCATAGATCTGAGCTCCCGACCCCAACCCAACTCCAAAGTCTTGCTCTATATGCTGCCTGACTCGTGCCCCACCAGACCTACCCAGAGCCCCACTCCCCACTCATTCCTTGAGGTCCTGATGCCCAAAGAACAGGAGCCAGGACTTACCCCACCCTGGTGTCTGAGTGTGAGGTCTGGCTTCCTTCCCTGCCCCTGAACTCTTGCAGGGCTCTGCGCAAATACCTGCCCCCAGCCAGAGCCCCGAGCATGCCATGCCGGTGCACTTCAGACCTCTTCTCAATCTCCAGAGAAAATGTCTGCAGGCATTAACTCATGTAATCCTCACAATGACCCTATCAGGTAAGTATATCACCCCCATTTGAGAAAAGGAAACCAAGGCACTGAGAAGTTAGCAACCTGCCTGCAGGTCACAGCTAGTAAGTTGTGAGTCAGGGTTGGAACCACAGGCCACCTTCACCAGGCTCTGCCTCCTCTTATCTCACAGCGGGGACCCTGACCCTGGGCAAGTCCTTTCATCTCTTGTAACCCTGCATCCTCACCTAAAAACTGGGAATGCTAATACACTCTGCGCCCACCTCTCAGCCTGACTGAGAGGGACAGCAGAGATAAGGATCAGGGAGTCGCTTGGTGCTAATCCACGTCACAACAAGGGGCGCAGCAGCACTGCCAAAGGCTTCCCCACGCAGCCTCCTTCTGCAGCAGAAGCAGGACTCTCGGTCCTTTCCAGAACACGTGTGCACTGCTGATAACTGAGTTGCTGTGTAACTCGAAATGTCCCTCAGGCAGGAGCTATCAGACTGGAACATCTCAACACCAAGCCAGACACTGAGGCTGTCTGTCTCCCCACTGCCTCCCACCATGGCTGCAGGCCACCTGCCCAAGGGCTAAGGCCAGACCAAGGCCTTGCTCACCACAGGGACCCCTCAGCAAGGTGGGGACCGACCTGGAGACAGCCCTTCTCAGCCCCTCTCAGCGCACCTGCACCTACCCAAGCTCCCTCTAGGGGGCACCTCTTCCAGCTTGGACTATCCTGATGGTGAGTATCTGCAGTAGACCGTGTTGGGTGCCTACCCACTAGCCATTCCTCATTCTCCTTTCTCAAAAGAACCTCATTTTTGTTCACTTGACCCCTGGGGCTGTGTTCTTCAGGGAGGTGAGCTCCTCCCTAACTCCAGGGCAGGGATCTTGATTAATCTCAGCCAAGGTGGGCCCTGGGTGGAATGCCTCTGCCAAGTGATTGGCTCAGGCATGGACACGAGACACAATTCTGGCCAATGAGACCTAGGGGGGAGTCTGTTGAACCCTTCTGAGAAAGGTTTTCTTGTTAAAAAACAATATATGAGAAGGAATGACCCCTAATTCTCACCTCTGGACATCAATCAGGGTATAAAGGTGTGAAGCCTGTAACTGCCACAATCATCTTAGAGCCCTGACAGTCAGCCCAGAACCCTGAACTGCTGATCTGCTCAATTAACCAACCTGGACCCATACCCACCCCCTCCATCTCCAGGCTTCTTGTTATGAAGAAAACAAATGCCTAAATGTTTAAGCTGATTTTAGTTAGAAAAACATCTACCCTGACACAATGTTGAAAGTTACCCTCATTCTCAATAAGACTAGACTCAGAAAAACAGAGCCCTTACATCTCAGAGACTGGGCTGGGGCTGGCTGGTCTGGGGCAGCAAAGTTTATTCTCCCTCTGCATTTTTGTCCAAAGTGAGGAAATGGTGTCCATGTCTCCAGAACCTACACCAACACCTCTCTTAGATGTGGTCCCAGGACAGCAGGGACTTTATAAAAAGATGTGCAAGAAAGGATTCTTGCCCTCCAGGTACTCACCACCTAGTTGGAGAACTCACAGAAGTATACAAACAGCCACTCTTAGAGTCGAAGGTGCGGCGCATGAATCATACGAGTATTAAGGGGCCACTTCAGGCAAAGGTGATGAGGAGAGGCCTCTTGGCTGGTGCTATGGACTCAATTGTGTCCAAAATCAATATCTTGAAGTCCTAACCCCAGTGTGACTGTAGCTGGAGACGAGGCCTTTAAAGAGGGCATCAAAATTAAGTGACTTCATAAGGGTAAAGTGTGACTTCATATTCTAACCCAATAGGACTGATGTCCCTCGGAGAAGAGGAAGGGAAGCCAGGAGCATGTTCACATGGAAGAAAGGCCATGTGAGGTTACGGCAAGAAGGCAGCTGTCTGCAAACCAGGAAGAGAGGCAGCACCAGAAACCAACCCTGATGATACCTTGATCTTGGACTTCCAGCCTCCAGAACTGTGAGAAAATACATTTCTGTTGCTCAAGCCACCTTGTCAGTGGTATTCTTCTAAGGCAATCCAAGCAGACTAATACAGAAGCATTCATGCTGGGTCTTCATAAGTGAGTAGTTCATAAAAACACGTATCGGGGCACCTGGGCAGCTCAGTAGGTTAAGTGTCCAACTTTGGTTCAGGTCATGATCCCATGGTTCATGAGTTCAAGCCCTGCATAGGGCTCTGTGCTGACAGCTCAGAGCCTGGAACTTGCTTCACATTCTGTGTCTCCCTTTCTCTCTGCCCCTTCCCCACTCAACCTCTGTCTCTGTCTCTGTCTCTCTCTCAAAAATTTAAAAAGAAACTTTTTTTTAATTAAGAAAAAAACAGGGGCACCTGGGTGGCTCAGTCGGATGAGCGTCCGACTTTAGCTCAGGTCATGATCTGACAGCTTGTAGGTTGGAGCCCCACATCAGGCTCTGTGCTGACAGCTCAGAGCCTGGAGCCTGCTTCGGATTCTGGGTCTCCCTCTCTCTCTCTGACTCTCCCCTGCTCACGCTCTGTCTCTCAAAATCAAACAAAACATTAAAAACACAAACACACACACACACACACACACACATATCATATACCAAGTACCTACTGTGTGCCATGCAATCTTGTCCATTTCTGAGGCTTTAAATACCAAGTATACCCTGAGAACTCCCAAATTTATATTTTGAGCCTGAACCTGTTCCTGGAGATCCAAGCTTGGCTGCCCATGAGGCCTCTATCTGAATGCTCTAAATACTGGCTCCTGCCCCCCAGCTATGTCCTTCCCACTCTTCCCTGTGCCAGGAAGTGGCCCCACTCCCTACCCTACACCACATCCTAGCACACTGGGATGCAACTCTGACTCCTCCCTTTGCCTCCTCTCCACACCCAAGTTGACAGAAAGGCCTCTCAAACTTCCATCCAAAACACCACCTTCTCTCCTTCTTCCATCCACCTCTGCTGCTGTTAGCGTGGTCTCTGCCCCCATCACCTCCAGCCTCCTGACTAACTGCCCCAATGCTCATCTTGCCCTGTCTGGAGAGGTACTTAAAGTAACAACGCTGAGCACACCCTTCTCTTGCTTGGAACCCGTCAAACGCTTTCCTTTGTACTGAGAACGAATCCAAACCTCTCCCCACAGCTTACGAGGCCCTGTATGATGCTCTCTGCCCAGCACCCCCAAATTCTTCCCATTCCAGCACCCACCTCCAGCACACTCCGGGCCTGCTGATGCTTTCTACCCCTGCTCTGTGGCATTGTGTGCCCTCTGCCGGGAATGCTTTCTCTAAGTTCTGCCTTGGCTGCTGCCTTCCTGGTCCTCCAGAATTCAGATGTCAGCTCCCAGAAAGATCTCTGAGCGCCCAGTCTACAGCACCCCCATTACTCACCCCACCGGTTGCCTCCCACACCTGCACCTGCAACTGTTCCATTTACCTGTTTGTTCACATGTTTACTGTCTCCCTCAACCACAGTGCAAATTGCATGGAAAGCCTGTCTGTTCATCATTGGATCCCCAGCACCTAGTTCGGGTTCCAGCAAAAACAAATGTTTGTTCAATGAACAAACTTCAGGAGCTCTGGGTGGGCACTTTACATACATTATCAATAAAGCATCCCTGAAATGATCATCCGTGTTTAACAAAGGAAGGAGATGGCCTCACTTCCAAGATAATGAGCTTTAAAGCCATGTAAGCCCAAGGCAGCTGCCCGTCATCATCACCACCAAGCTTGCTGGGGAATGGTGTCAGTTTGCAGGAAAGCAGAGCCAAGAGACGGGAGAGGTGGTCACTTGAGATTCCGTGCAGCCATTCCTAAAGGCCCCCATCACAAGGCAGCTTACAGGGAGGACTGTGAGTCTCCAAGAGGTGGAGAGAACCATCCAAGGTCATGCCACCAGGAAGAGCAGGATGTGGAACTGGAACCCAGGTCTACCTGGCTGCACAAGCCCATCCCCACATGGCTATGGGCAAGTGCGCACGGGTCCAGCCAACTGACGGGGCAGAAAGAAGCCAACTCCATGAGAGAATGAGAAGCCGGGGAGGGAGGTGGCAATGAGTACGGGGAGGAGGGGTTCCTAGGACCAGTCTCAACCCAGACTCCATGCGAGTCTCATCTAGATCCAATAGAAAAATGAACCACAAAGCTGTTTCGCTACACACTCAGGGAGAACAATGGGACGAGCGGCCACGTGAGGAACTGAGGCACTCTCCCCATTAGGGAGCCCTACAGGAAGCTCAAGATGGGAGGCCATCCCCAGCAGGAGGCGGCGCAAGTGGAACCAGACTTATGATGAGACAGTCCCTGGGGATTCCTACAAGTCTTGGAGGAGAACTTGGTGGAAGCCTGAACTATCATGTGAGTGTGTGGAGCAAAAGCCACAGCAGTCTGGGTTATAAAGTCAAGATACCAAGGTTGATAAGGCCAGGAGGGATACAGTGCGACACCATTCCCTCTCCCTCCTTGTATCCAGGGCTGCGGCTTCTCCTCCGGTGTATCTCCAGTGCTGCCCATAGCCCACTGCCACCACCCACCAGGCCACAGCCTCAGGCCCTGGGTTGGCAGGGGTCCAAAGGCCATCCCTGGCCCCACCCCTTGTATTCAGGAGAAGACAGGGCTGGGAGGGGACCACCTACCTCAGTGGCGGTGACCGGAGCTTGGCTGATGCCCCTGTTGACCGAGTCCCAAGACCGGGCCGTCAGCATGCAGGCAAACAAGGGGTAGAGGTCCCCGGCTCCCAGGCGCTGGCTGTACTTCTTCACTTTCTTCATGTCAGTCCAGATCAGTGACTGCCAGAGGCGGCAGTAATTCAGCCGGAACTCCTCTGTGAGCACCTGCGGGGGGGTGGGTACAATGTGACAGGACCTGAGCCTCCTTTCCCCATGGAAGACCTAGACCCTGGCTGGTATGATCACTGTGAAGGGGGTCAGATGAAGACTGGGGACTCCTGCATAACATCCACTTCTTTCCCAAAGTTCCACCATCCCTAAAGGCCCAGGTTGAAAGCTACTACCTGGCCTGCTGTGGTCTGGAGTGCCAGAAGCTACCATTTGCCCACTAAAATCACATTCCCCACCTCCATCCTAGTTGGGTGTGGCCCTCTGCCTGAGCTCCGACGGATGGAATGCAGCAGAAATCCCACATCAGCTCCTGAAAACTCTCCCACGGATGCTGCTCTGAGCCCCTACCCCTGCTGCTGGAGGATGATGAGACACCCCCCAGGGAAGCCTAGAGGGTAGAGCCTCAGTCAGTCCCTGCCTTCAGACTCCTCTGCCTACCCGAGACAACAGGTATGTAAGCAAGCAATTCAATGTCTCCTGTGTCTGGGCCATTATTTATTTGGGGGGCTGTGTGTGACAGCAGCTAGCCTACCTCAAATTAATGCACCCAATGTCACTAAGTCTTTCTTTTTTTTTTTAATGTTTTATTTATTTCTGAGAGAGAGAGAGACAGTGTGAGCAGGGGAGGGTCAGAGAGAGAGGGAGACACAGAATCTGAAACAGGCTCCAGGCTCTGAGCTAGCTGTCAGCACAGAGCCCGATGCGGGGCTCGAACCCACGAACCATGAGATCATGACCTGAGCCAAAGTCGGACACTTAACCGACTGAGCCACCCAGACGTCCCTGTCACTAAGTCTTTCAAAGGAGGCCAAGATTTCGGGAGGTGGGATCAGGGCCCTGAGGGGAAGAGTAAGAGAGCATTGGGGAAACCTCCCCAGGACCATCTGCCATGAACTCAAGATAGGCCCTGGGTCCCGGATTGGCAGTGAACTTCCCAATTTCCAGGCAGAAGCCCATGGCTCATCTGAACCATATGAGTCCCAAATTCCAGAGGACAGAGTCTGGAGGCATCCAGCCCCATCAGTTCCTGACCCTCTTTCCCAGTACACATCACCTACTCCCTGGGACTGAGTTGCCCCCTTACCCTGAATTCCTAGTTCATCCAAGGGCAGCTCATTTCCCAGTGAGCTGGCCTGGGCTTCCCTGGGAAGCAAGGTTTTCATAGCCGACAAAGCACCTGCACGTGCCCAGGCATATCCCCATCTCCTCCCCACAGCAGCTTGCAAAGGAGGCATTACTAATCTCACTCGACTGGAGCGAGCTCATACGATGTGACTTACACAGAATGACAGCTCTAGGGGAAGGGCGGGCCCTCGCCATCTGCCCTGGGTATCTGCTTCCTGTTTCTGTGGCAGATCAGGAGATCAGCAAGCTCTGATCCCAGGACCAGAGCCTGGACCGGCTAGATGAAAAAGGCCTCTTCTACCTGGTAGAGCCCGTGGTCCAGCAGGACAACCTCTGCCTTTCCTGTGCCCGGGTGCTTCCGCACCAGCACATTGCCGGGGTGGGGGTCGCAGTGCACAAAGCCATTGACGAAGATCATCTCGCTGTATATCTTGCCCAGGTAGCGTGAGACCTGAAAGAGAAGGAGGCAGGTGGGAGTTACAACACATGAACACCTATCTCATAGACTTCGACCCTGGCCCCTCAATCTGGTCACTTTCAAGAGGAAGGCCAGCGGTGCTGGGTGGGCCTGAGAGGTCCTGGTGGGAGTGATGGCTTGTGATTGTACAGTTGTTGAGTTTAAGACAGAAGCTGAGTTCTAATCCAGTTCTCCTCAACTTCAGCCACACGTTAGGATCGCCGAGAACTCGGAAGTGTTAGAGGTGGTCCCCAGGCATCAGCATTTGTTTTAGAGTTCCCAAGATGACCATAACATAGAACAAGGTAGAACAACTGCTTCCAGCAATCCTGAAGCCTGTAACTCCCACTCTCGACCCCTGCCCTCCACTCCTCCCTAACCCTTCTCTTCCCCATTCTCTTCATTCTCTCCCAAAGCTGAAGATGGGCTGGAGAGTTAGGGTGGTTGTGAGGCCATCCCAACTTCCCCTTCTCCAAAGAGCAGGAATAGGAGGCTGTGGGTCAGGAATACATAACCTCGCACCCCCGAGAGCTGTTCCCACCAGCTCTGAGGTGGTCCCAGGAGGACCCAGAGTCACAGCCCTGCTCCTTCTCCCTCAGGCCCCTTTTCCTTCACGCCTCCCCGCCAGAGCCCAATGCTAATCTGATTTATGATGTCTGCACAGAAGAAATGACACTGGAGAGGCCATTTAAATCATCCTGTCACTGCTACCCTCCCTGCCCAGGCGGTCTTCTTATCTCTACTCCCTTTTTATTAAAGCTAAAAGCCTCTTCCCAGCTAGGGAACAGCTGCTGAATAGCACCAGGCCTGGCTGGGCCCACAGATGGTCTGCCAGTGGGTTTCCAGAGGACAAAGAGAGGCTCAACTCACAAAGCTGATACCCCAGGACACACATTGCCCTTGACATTTCTCTCAGTCCCCACTGGACACCATGGTCGATAGCAAACATGTCCCAGCCAGAGGAGAAGAGCTGGGCCCCACAGTGGGAAACACAGGAGTAGGGGTTCAATTCCTTTCCTTTGCCTACAAAGCCTTGCACAACCAGGCCCAGCCTCCTTCCCTGGTTTTATCTCAGGCCATGACACTATAGCCGTATCTGCTCTCTTTCCAATGACCCTGTACCTCAGGACCTTTGCACATGATAGTCCCCCTGCCAAGAGCCTTCCTCTCATCCCCTATTCACCTGGTTCACCCTTGTCTTCCTTCCCATCCCAGCTCAGCATCAACTCTCTGGAGGCACCTTTCTTGACCTCCCGGCCTAGAAGCGGTTCTCCTGCCATAAACTCTCATAGAACTCTGTACTGTTCTTTCATGGTCACAGCATACTATTTGATTAATGACCATGTAGCCCACTATTATAAGCTCCTAAGAGGGCAAAGACTGGCTCTATTTTGTTAAATGCCTTTATTGAGGTATAATTTACATACCAGAGACTGGCTCTACTCTGCACCCACTTACCTATAACAAGCCAAACATGAATATACGACCTTCAACACGAATGAGACCCTTGTCTATGTTTTTTTGAGATGCTGCAGTTCCTGTCTTCATGCTTATCCTAACCCCCGTAATCTCTTCAATTGTAACTGGCCCCAAAATAAATCATCAAGAATAACCCTACTATAGTAATAGCTAACATGCTTATAACAGCCTTACAAGTAGGTACAATTATGATCCCCACTTTTCACATAAGGAGCTGAGACTCATCGGGGTGTGACTTACACAGAGCTACAGGGCTACAGATGGGTAGAGCCAAGACCCAAGCCAGGTGTGACCCCACAGCCTTCCAGCAACCACTCTACCACGCAGGCTCATGCCAACTTCTGCACTTCTCAAGTGAACTCTGTGACCTTGAACAAGTTGCTGATACTCTCAGCTTCTGTACAATGCAACCAACAGTAGTGCCACTCACAGGTGAGAACGTCGAGGTACGTGGAGCCCAGTGACCCCTCACGGGAGCCCCATTATTACTGACTCCTCTTAACAGTCTTTGGAGAGTGACAAACCAGGGTCCATTACCTTTTTTAAGAGATGAAGACACCAGGGTTAAAGAGGATGTCTTAAGTCCTGACACCTATCCAATGTCACGCTGGAGGAAATGAATGCCCAGTACTCTGCTGGCAATTGGAGGACTTTGCCCCATGTCGGGTTCTCAGCCTCAGGTTGAGATGTCAGATGTTCCAAAGGCCACCATTTACTGTTTCCTCAGAGTGGGGCCCAGCTGGAGTTGGTCCTGGCTGAGCCGGCAAGTCCCCTTTTGAGAAGCCCTATTGTTAGGCTCTTTGGAGCTCCATGAGGCCATGCTCTGAAAGGCTGCATTTGCCAAACCAATTGCATTTATTAAGTAATAATTCATTTTTATTTGTCAAGGACGCATATAAGGTCCAATCAGGGCTCCTGATCAGCCCAAGATAAGCAGTACAGCCAGACTGAGCTGACAGAATTCGAGCCAAAAGCAGAGAAATGACATTTCATTTAGTCTGGGCAGACCTGTCATGGGGAGATGTATGATCTCCCCTGAGCTTTCTGAAATATTGCTAATCGCTCTGGGCCCCCTATTACTACATTGAAAGATAGCCTCTGGGGATCTGGGGATTCAGGATGGGGGAGCCCTTGCCCGTGAGGAGTGAGCTGCTGCCAGAGGAGGAAGGGGAAGAGACGCTGCCAATCGGAGCTCATACATACGCAGGCAAAGCCATCAAGTGGCCCTCTCCATTTTGACACTGCATCCAGCTGCCCCTACTTGGGTGTCTTTCCATTTAGGGGTGGTTCTTTAACCAGATTTCACCAACATAGACAGACATGGAAGACACAGACAAGAGAGGAAACCAGCCTGTGCCCCCAGCTTTGCTCTGGAGCCCTCTGGAACTGCCACTTTCGGCATGGGTGACCTGAGGACAAGTCACCTCCCTTCTCAGTCTGGGTCTAAGTTCCCTTAGCTGTCAAGTGGAACTAATTCCATCTGCTCTACTTCTTCACAGGGTAACCTCAACATTCAAGGTCAAAATGTGATCACATCTGGGAAAGCACTTTATATACTACACTACATACTATACCACACACTATGTGCATACTAGACCTATACAGACCATGGAGTGCTTACATACTATAGAAGACACACAAATGTGTTTGTTGTAATGTAGTAGCTTATGATTTAAAACTTGGGGGGGAATGTAACCATTATCACTTTGATCAAAGTTTAATTTTCAAAAAGTTAAAAACCTAACTCATAAAAATATAGAATGAATATATGTCGAAGATTGCTCACCTCACCAAAAAAGGAGCAAGTAAAAAGGCAGAGCTGATTCAGAGAATTTTGAGGGACTGGAATTTAAACAGGAATAAGAGACTGAGATTCCTGGATTAGATATAGAACTGGTTATTGCCCTACAGAGCAATAAGGAAATCATAACCTTTGAGGTTATCTTCTCCACTAGGCAGAAATTATTTGCATATCTCTGCTGGATAAGATCTTACAGGTTGACATATGACTTCAGTCTGAGCCCTTAATTAATTGTCAATAGCAGAATCAAACAAAAGTACATTTCCCTGGATATTAAAAAGCCCTCGGTGGGCTGGCGGAACAATACCCAAGAATGACTGTGAAAGGACACACCACACATTCTTCCCCTTAATTTCTAAATGTTGGGCAAAATTTTTAACATCTGTCAGAGTTGCAGTAAGTACTTTCTTGGAACCATTTTGCCCAGAGAATGGCAGCCAGCCCCCTCCTACTCAGAGACCGCAAGGATCCCAGAAGAAACCTAAGGCCACCACTGGGCACACAACCCTCTCCCCCATCCCCTTTCCATAATAATCTAGCTACATCTTGTGATTAAGAGCAAACAACTATAAATACTGTAGTGAACATGGGGATGCAGGTATCTCTTCCAGATACTGATTTCATTTCCTTCAGATATACACCCAGAAGTGAACTGCTGAATCATATGGTCGTTTAATTTTTAATTTCTGGAGGAAAGGCCACACTGTTTTCCACAGTGACTGTGCCAGTCTGCAGTCCCACCAACAGGGTACAAGGGTTCTCTTTCCTCCACATGCTCACCAACACTTTGCTCTCTTAGCCTCTCGATGCCCGTTCTGACCAGGGTGAGGTGATGCCTCCTTGGGCTCTGGGTCTGCATTTCCCTGATGATGAGCGATGCCGAGCACCTTTTCATGTACCTGTGGGCCACTTGTATGTCTTCTTTGCAAAAATGTCTGTTCAGTTCCCCTACGGCTGCCCTCTGCCCTGTGACAGTGGCATCTGCATAAAGACAAGTGCCAGGCACCATTCCAGGCACTTTCCGTGGACTCACAGCCATCCTCCGTAGGGAACAAGTGGAGGAAGGGAAACATATACCATCCACCCAGCAGTTAGTGAAACCAGACTCCAAACCCAGGTGGCCTGGGTCCAGGGAATAAGCTGTCAATCACCTCGCTATCTTCCTCTTCCTCCACTCACAGTAGAGCCCTCTGAAGGTCCTCACGGCATCCAAGAAGACATTCCATGTGGAGACAGAGTCTCAGAGAGAAATCCAGGACTGCTTCTCTACCCAAAAAATTCACTGGTAACTAAAGCCATAGTACAGCTCTTTTTAGGAGAAAAAAAGTCAGTGACAAGTCTTTTCATTGTTCCATGTAAAAAGAATGTGTCATTCATGAAAGTGACTTTAGTAATTACTAATGCCTTTATTCCCTGACAGCAGGGAGGTAAAACAACAAAAAATAAAATAAAAACACAAAAAACAAAAAATTCCAGGAATCTATAAAAAAGGCTTAGTAAAGAATTAATTTAGTAAATAATATTTAAATCAAGGATTATTTTTTAATTTTTCTCAAAACTTGAATTGGCTGAAAGTGCTTTAATTATTCTATAATTACATGGAATAATTTATTCCCACCCCCAAGGGAAAGTCTATTTATGTTCTTGGGGGTGCCGTACATGCAAGGCCAAGATCTCTCAAAGAAACAGGAGGCTGGTGTTGCAGCATATTAAT